TCTTTGTTTGTTTTGTTTATACATGCACTGGGTACAGTCAGAAGCGCGGGAGGGCGAGAGAATTCACCAGAGCCAGAGCGGGGAGCAGAGCAGGCAGAAGGACCGAAGTACACTGCTGAGGGGAGCAGCGGGCGGCAGGAGAGGTCTGCGCGCCATGTGGGACCCTCCTCCGGTGGCCGGGGAGCAGCCGGGGATCGAACCGGCGCCGCAGAGGCCGCGCGCAGCTTCGCAACCCAGCGCTCAACCGCTGCGCCACCGGGGAGGCCCTTGTATTTGTTTTTAATAGCAGTTTGTAAGAGATATAATGCATGAATCTCACATATGTTTGAAATGTATAGATCTTATATTGTAATATTTTAATACAACAGTTTCTCTTCAAGGTTGAGATTTGAGTACAACTTGTATTCTCATTTTAACTAAATGATTGATTGCCAGAGCAAGCCTACTAACTAGTTTCATATTATATCTGTGAACTAATATGTGGCAGTATATTAACCTATTTTCAGATTTGCATAAATTATTTATCAGTGAGTTGGACTTGAAAGGGGTTGGATGTAGCAAATAAGTGACTTCTGAGTGGGTTTGGAAAATTCTAGAGTAGAGGATGTATGTCTAGGAGATATTTCTGTCAGAATGCAAAAGACAACACAATACTGGAAGAAAAAGGATAGTAAATAAAGGGGAGAAGATCATCTTTGGGATACTTTTGCACTGTTTTAATGTTGAGAACATAAAAATATGAAAATAAAAATGTCTGTTTACATAATAAACTGAATTAGTAAATTAAAATATTTTTAATATATAATGGCAGCAAAATCTGTAGAGAATATGTGATAAACCCATTTCCATAGTCTTTACCTGTTAACATTTAAAATTTTTCCCTGCCAGACTTTAACTCAGAAATCATACACACTTACTACTACCACTACCTCCAACGCTTTAAAGCTACAAGCCCCAAGTGTAGACAATTGGGCTAATGAGACCTTGTAAACAACTGTACTTGCTCTTTGTTTAGGTTGAGAAATATAGCACCTTGTTGGCAGGTTAGTGGTTGATGGTATTGATAATATTTAATGGAATTAATTTGGAGATGATAGCTTTTTTACTTCCTTTTCATTTCCCAAGGTTTCATTAGTATAAACTGTGTGGATGTTTCCCATGTTGACTCTCCCTAAATTTATTAATCTGCATTTGCCTTCTTCCTATCTTACACATAGTCATTTAGGTGTGCCCAGCACCATTCTGGAGGCAGAAACAGATTTCTTGTGAAGCTAATGAAGCTTAAACTTCAGGGCCTTCACTACTGGCATTGACGCCAAGCTCACATATAATGTGTTCATATGTTCATGCGTTTTTATTAAATCTGTGAAACTAAAATATTTTAACTACAGTTAAAACTGCTTTCCTTTTTCACTTTAATTTTTCTCCAGCTAGGTGACATTGTATTGGACAGAAAAAAATTCTGGACAAGGGAAATTGAGATGGGGATCATTTAGTTTGGGTTTAATGAGATCTATAAATAGGTGGTTCTTAGTCACCACCATGTCTAGGTTATTGCAAGCTTTGCAGGTACACAAATAGCTCTTTGGAAAATTCCTATGACCCTGAAGGAACTCATGAAAATGCAGGGCTGGAGGTCATCTTATAATGTTCCAACATTAGAAATACGTAGATGATGTGGAACACACAAGATAGGAAATTTGAACTGTATGGAACCAAAAGCTTGTCCATAGATTCTCCCAGTCTTACAGTTCACACAAGAAACTTGGTACTTGTTTTCCTAAATTTAGTAACAAACAAAAATTTGTATTATATTTACCAGTGATACCTAATTGACAAATGAGAAAGTGAGAAAAGAGAAGTGAGGAAATAAGACCGGCTGGACCTGGGAGCTGGTGCTGAAAAGTAGCAGAAAATAACATGGTAGAGAAGGACTGACCTTGGAGAGATCATTTATTTATTAAGTAACAGCTTGAAAGATATCAGAGAATATGGGGCATGGAAATTAGGTGATGAAAATAATACTAGAGTAATACCAGTATGGAGGCAGTGAGTAGAAAGTCAGAAAAGAACTGGGTTTTTTAATCTTTAGTTCATTTTTTGATTCCTACTAACTACTTTCTTTGTAAATTTGTATACCCTTGCAAATATAAAGGAACATTTTAAAATCTTTCCTTACATAGTCTTGAATTTTTCCATGTAGTTCTCTCTCACAATTTTCTGTACATTTTCTTTATATCCTTTTTTATTTGAAGTATTCTTTACAATTTTTATATTACTTTTCATATTTATATATACATGTAAATATATAGTTAGTGATTTTTTTTTGACAATAGACATGCAGCAGGGATTTGGACAAGTCATGACTTTCTAAAAGTCTTTAGTTCTGTGTGCTTAGAAAGCTATTCCGAAGAATATAGTAAATATAAATCTGGTGAGATTAAAATTTTCTTTTATTTTTTATTGAGGTAGCATTGGCTTACATTATCGTTAGTATTTTGGAAGTATAGGATACCCCCTGCCCTCAGTATCACCACCAGAGTTGCACCCTTTACCAAATTGCCTATGGCAATTATACCACCTGTCATTGTTCTCCATTTCCTCTTTGTTCTCACCCCTGCCCCAACCTCTCCCTCTCTGGAAGTTTAAGTTCTGTAGTCAGCTTTCAAGGGTTAGTTTTTACATTTGTCTTTATTTGACTGAAGTGATAGAAGTTGTTTAGATAGTATCACTGAACTATTAACAGAAATGGGGAATTGTCAAGCAGAATTTTCATTCTCCTTCCTCTGTTTTTGATTTTTTTTTTAATATTATTTATGCATACAAGAGCTGGGGTACAGGCCAGAGGTGTGGGGGTTGAGAGGATTCACCAGAGACAGAGTGGGGAGCAGAACAGCAGACTGACCCAAGTACACTGCTGAGGGGAGCAGTGGACGAGTCAGGAGAGGTCTGCTACTCCTTGTGGGTTGTTTTGTTCCCCTGGCTGTCTGGGGATTAAACTCCTGCTGCAGAGGCTGCAGACAGCTTCATAGGTTACGTTTTAATCCCTTGTGCCACCAGGGAGGCTCTTGATTTTTTTTCTTTTTTTTCTTTTTTTCAATATAAAATCAAAATTTTAAGAATTGTTGGGGGGGAGAAGCGTATTGCATACTGTTGTTTGCATACATATTGTTTTTGTGCTGAAAAAATATCCACTAACATAGGATATCTTTTCCAACTCCCTAACATGATTTATAAAGCCCTCTAGTCTCCCTGCCCACTTTTCCTTGCCACACATCTAGCACCATTCTGTCTCTAGGCTCTAGCTGCACTCTTTCTTAACTGCAAGGCAGCAGGACTATGCACTCCCACTTCAGATAACTCCTTTCTTAGAGCATTCTTCCCAAATCATCCTCCCATGCTGTCACAGTAGTCTTTATTTTCCTTATTGTAATTTTTGGTTTACTTTTGTTCTTCCCTACAAATATCCCAGCACAAGGATCACCATTGTATTCACAATGCCTAATTCAGTAGTGTGGATATAGTGAATGTTTGTTGACTGAAGGGACGAATAAATTTCAAAATGAATTGTACTCAACTTTAAGGAAATTACTAGGCTTGGATGTATTTTCCTTGACCAACCGCTAAAATGCTACTTCACAAAGTCTTACAGGGAAAAAAAATGCATTTAGAACCTTAGAGCCTATTACCCACCTCAGCACCGAAAATGAAAGAGGGAAACACCTCCAATACCAAACTTGTTTTCATGTCTTCTATAACTGAGAAATAGGGCAGAGCAGTAGAGCTGATATGGGATAGATACTAAATATTGGAAAGAGGATAAAAGTTGGGAATCTGGGAGTTAGCTATGATGGAGGAACTGACAAAACAATATCGTCTTTTTTTTTTTTTACTGTCCTAAATTATGGTCAACTATAAAACAGATCTGCATCCAGTCTCATAGTTTTGTCTTTTATGAGTATATCTTTTAATTAATACTTTCTTTTTTAAAATTTTAAATATGGGGTTACATTTTTTAAAGAACAATTGTAGATTTACAGAAAATTAAACAGTTTCCAATGCCCCTTTTATGCTTTCATCTAGTGTCAACATCTTACATTAGTATGGTACATTTGTTATAGTAGGTGAATTGAGATTGATATTAACTAAAGTCTTAAAAGAATGAGAAAATAATGTGGAAACTTCTTGTTATATCTCTTTAAATGAAAAGAAAAAGTTTGCAAATATTTACAAATCAGTTACCAAAACGTTAAGTTAAATCTGTACTTATTTTTAATCTTGCCATCATTTTTTGGTCTAAGTCTTCTTGCTAAGGATGACAAAGAACTTTCCAGAAATATTGAGAGGTCTGTTAAATTAGTTCCAGAGACTACTTTTTGCTGTGCTTGTAACACAGAAAACCACATTTATTGGAATATCTCTTATTAGAAAGTTGTCTTTGACTTATGGTTGTAAACCTGTGTGTACAGAAGTTTTACTTTCCCTTTAAACTTGTTAGGAGTGCCTGGCACATATTAGGCATTTAAGACCTATAACAACTTACTGAGTTAAATAATGAATGCATTAACACTTAATAACTCATTATGATCTCACCAATCTGGCTCTAACTCAATCTGGTGATGCTACTTCAAGTAAGACCACTTTGTTTAATCATTCTGAGTTCCTTAAAGATGATGTATAAGTACTTAGAGGCTCTGATGCAGCAAGGAACATTGGAGAAATGCTTCAATTTATTTCTAAAAAAATTAACTTTTGCATTAAGGTTTTCCTCAGTGCTTAACACACACTTATTTTCCAATGTCGTGTTTAGGTTGGAAGGTCAATAGTTACACAGAGATGATTATTTCATACTGAAGGAAATATAAGTTGTAATATAGCAAATGACTTACTTCTTGGTAGTTCTAAACACAATATTTATAATCTTTGTTCTGAATGTTTATAGACCTTGCAAATTAATGTCTAATTTGAAAAAGTAGCAATGAGGGAATAAAAACTCTTACCACTTGGCAATACCATGACTGGCTCTGTAAATCTTTGTTCATCTGCTGAAGGTAGATTTAGGGAGAGGATTAACACCATTCCCAGACTAGTTCCAACAAACAAACAAGGAGTGATGGTGGAATCATTTTTTCGAGAAAAGGACTCCATGAAGTATAGTGCTGTAATTGCTTCTTTAGAATCTTTGTCAATACTGGAGATGCTAGAACTTCTAGAGCGATTATAAGAATTTTCTCGGCTTTCTATGGAAATTTAAAAAACAAAAATGACATGTTAGTGTGTTTCCAGAAAAAGTAAAATCAGATTTAACATATGAAAACTAAAATTATGTGGATAAGGTGAATTTGCTCTTTATTAACTGATCTGGAAAGCAGCTGATCCAGTTACCAGCTTATTTTGAAGTTGGAAAGACTCAAGTCCAAAAGTATAAATCATAAATTTAGGCAGAGATGGACCAGAACTGGAGTTTCCAGAGTTCCAGTTCATCATTTTTTCTCTACCTTACCTTTCAAGTTAAATGGAAATCTCTAATCTGAAAAAAATTTTTTTAGTCTAAATAGTGAAGGTTAATTGTGCCTCACTCCCATCTCTCTATTGTTGAAATGAGATTTCTTAGCAATTCCCACTTAATGACAACATTGTGTCTGCTTACCGGAAGAGTAACATGTTTTGTGGCAAATACATTTCCCTAACACAATTTTTGGTTTAACTATATCTGGAGTAATTATAGTTATAAAAATTGAGCTATTTGCCAAGGCCAAAGAACAAGTGTTATCTTCCTGAATTAATTTCAAACTGCCTATTTTTAATTCTAATCCAGTCCTAATTTTGCCAGAGGACAAATAAGAAGTTGTACAGGATGCCATCCTAGTAGCAGTGGTAATCTTGCTAGAGAGTTTCAGCCCACTTACAGGAAACAGGGTAGTTTTAGGTTCTCCTACTCATCAATACTGGAACATGTGTATACTCCAAGTATAAACTCACCACTTCGGTTAAACAATATTAAGAAAGTTGTATTCTTAAAATCAGCCACTCTAGAGCACGAGTTCCTCATATTCCTCTTAGTCTTCTTTTCCTTTTGATAAGTACAAGTGTGACTATTTTTATATAAAGAGGCTAATTTCCTCAGATGATCCTTTTTCTGGGGTGAAATATAGTATTGAAATGAAATATAGTATTCCTCATTTTCTTCCTTTCTATCCCTTAGCAAGTTTATAAAAATAATTGCTACAGAATTTTGAGATGGCAGGGAGCTTGGATATCATCTATGCATTTTACAGATCTGGTGACTGATACATAGTTAAAATAGTTTTCCTAGAATCCAGGACAGGTTAGAGGCAGAAATGTTTAAAACTCAAAATTACCAACTCTCAATCCAATGATTGAGCTCTGCTTCTTTTAACCTTTACATTTTGCTTTTGTTAAAAAATTCCTAGTTATTAATTTACCAAAATGTTTCTATTTATGGTTTATCAACATTCAAAGGTGACTCATAGACACCTCGGAGAGGTAACATTGTATGTCAATGGACCAGATATAGTATGTCATAATATTAAAGAAACAGACTAAACAAATTTTATTGAAAAACATTTTCTGAAGAATAATTTAGATAATTACTATCATTTTTTTGAGGAGTGTTAATAGCACAGACACTATAGCAAATCTTCCTAAGATTATTTCTTCCTATTTCTCCCCCCAATTGGCAAAATTACAAGATTTCTTTTGTAAAAATTTTTTTTATTTTATTTTTTTTTCTTTTGTAAAAATTTTTGACCATCTACCTCTTGTGTTTTACTCTTTGTACCCATACTTTTTCCTAAATAAGCAAATAATCCTTCCTCTTTAAAAGCATGAAGATGAAGGTTATGAATTTTATATTTTAATATTTTGTCTTTTCCTTGGTCACTTTCACTTGACAGGAAATAGAGTTGCAAGATATTAAACAATTATGTACAGAGGGACACGTTAAGAGATTTACCACTGAGATGGAAAGAAACTGTTGCTGGGAGTGGAGAGAACAGAATAAGGCATACATCTCCCTTTTTATAGAGGAAGTGGGAACCTACCAATAAGAAGAACATTTAGGTCTCAGAGATGAAGCAGATGGTGTGATGATGAATGAAATTTGAGTAATGGCAACAGCCCTACCAGGTCCTCAGTTACTCATTGGCTAGAGTTGACTGGAATTTTTATATCTTTTACATCTGACCTCTATCCTTGTTACCCTGTTCAAGTTTTAATTGCATCCACAAAAATTGGTATTTTTAACCTACCTTCTGTTGTAACTGGTAATGAAATTTCCATGCAAGCAGCTGACTGTGCTTTTCGAAACGGTGGTCTTCCAGGACCCCAGCGATTTACTTTTGAAACATCAGCACTAGAAAGACGTTTTCCAGAACTGCAACTCTGAGAAGTTGGACTTGTGCAGTGTCCATTTACGTGATCTGTACCAAGAGGAAGACGGCAGCATAAATATCATAATTGAATCTTAATATAAGTGAATTCAAGAATGTAGAATAAAGGAAGAAAAATAAGCATTTCTTTTTGCTCAAACCAAATGAAGATAGCCAAGTCCTTGCTATTTTAAGAGTCACAGTTTCAGTAGTTAGCCAAAAATTTTATAAGATATTAAAATTCATTTTTTAAATTTTACTAGTTAACAGTTTGTATTAATGACAATATGAAATAGATGAATGGTGTTGAACTTTCTTTTGGATAATTTAACTATGCATCTATTTACATAAGTTTTAGGAGTACTTCAAGTGCATAAAGTTTAAAATACAGAATGGAAGCATCTTAATGTGCAGTTGAGAGTGGTTCTTAAGATTATTAACTCTGCAGCCAGACTGGGCTCAAATCCCAGTTCTACCATTTACTTGTACAAATTACTGAAGTTTTAATGCTTAAGTTTCCTCTTCTGTAAATGATCTACTTAATAGTATATTTTGTGATAATAGGTGTCAGATGCCAGAACACTTGCTGGTATGCGGTAAACTCTGGGCAAAAATTGTCACACTTATTCCTGAGTATTGAATCTGCTTTTGTCTGAGACAAAGTGTTCTTTTAGAGCTTGTGAGTTTAGCTTTATTATGTTATACATAGCCTTTCTGTATTGTAGAGTTTGAGAACTTAAAATTGTTCATTTCCTGGATTCCCTTGCAACAAGTACAAGGATGAGAATTAGGTTTCAGCTTTTAAATGCACTAGTGTTTTACTCTTTTTTAAAAGATGAAAATTAACTTATTGAATACTTAATGCCAGGCATTTTATATGCATTACTCATTTATTTGCAACAACCCTGTAAAGTAGGTGCTTCATTGGCTTGATTTTTACAGACAAGGAAACTCAAGTTCAAAAAAAGGGCTTCAGGAAATTGTGTAATGTTACATAAATAGTATTCATGGAAGTTTCACTGAGGTATAATCCATATATATAATTGTAAGATATTTAAAGTAGATATTGTGATTTGCTATACATACATTCTGTGAAAGGATTCCATCTTTTTATAAGAGCATTAAGTTCTACTCTAGCAATTTATATTTTATTACAGTTGTTAACTATAGTCATGTTTTACACAACAAGCGCCTTAAGTCTTCATCTTACAGCTGACAGTTTGTATCTTTTTATAAATCTTTCAGTGAGAAAACTTTCCAGGTTTAAGAAAACTGCTTATCCACTTAGACTGGCCACTTTTGTTTGTTACCCAGTTCAGTCAGTAATTATCACAAAGGTAACTGGGAAAAAGGCATATGCTACAAGTCAGCAAATTTATGAAGTTAAACAATTGTGGATAAAAAATAACACAGAAGAGTCACTTCTTGAACATAAAGAAATAAAAAAACTAGGAAGCTTTGCTGAACTAGAAATACCTGCAAAACAACTCATGCCCTGAAACACTCAGGGCCCTTGGCCAATGGAACTCAGCTCTGAAACAAAGACCAAATCAGAATCCACCTCAGATGCAACACAGTTTATGCCTCATCCCAAACTCATGGATCTCTGGCAGTCCAAGGCAGAAGATGTAGATATGTACAACACTAAGCTGAAATGGTCTGCATAGCTACAAGATGTATAAAGTTGCAAATAATGATTATAATACAGTTACAATAATGGTAACTGACACATATAACTTAAACCCAGTTTTCCCCTTACCTCTTCTAATGTATAGACCAACCACATGAGTTATTAAAACATAAACTGTGAACATGGTTCAAACAATATTAAATGACTGGGGAGGGCAGAGGTAGAGTAGAGGTAGAGTAGGATGCATCTGATGACTTTTAAGGGTGTTTATTAAAAAAAGAGTAAACACATACTGGTAAAACTAAAATATGAAAAAATATGTATGTGTATATATACACATTTAAACCCATATATTTGCTTTAGCTTTCCCGAATTAATGTCAGCTAAATTAGAATGGTTTGTGGAAGGGATGTATCATACACATCTCCCTTTTTATGTTTCACAGAGCTGGGATAAAAATATCGATATTTTATGGTCAAAAAGAAAAGTCAACCTGAAAAGGCAATATACTAAATAATTCCAACTATTTGACATTCTGGAAAAGGCAAACTATGGAAATAACAAAAATTTAGTGGATGCTGGGATTAAGGGGGAGGGAGTGAAGAATAAGTTGACAAAGATTTTTTTAGTGCAGTAAAACTGTTTTATATTATACTGTATTAAACTAAAATGGTGGATACATGTCAAAACACCAAGTATGAGTCCTCCTATAAACTATGGATTGTGGGTGATAATGATATCCTTTTTTTTTTTTTTTTCAAGATTTATTTATTTATTTATACAAGCACTGGGTACGGTCAGAAGTGCGGGAGGGTGAGAGCACCAGAGCCACAGCGGGGAGCAGAGCAGGCAGAAGGACCCAAGTACACTGCTGAGGGGAGCAGCAGGCGGCAGGAGAGGTCTGCACGCCATGCGGACCCTCCTCCGGTGGCTGGGGAGCAGCTGGGGATCAAACCGGCGCTGCAGAGGCTGCGGGCAGCTTCGCAACCCAGCGCTCAACCGCTGCGCCACCGGGGAGGCCTGATAATGATGTCTTAATATAGTTTCATCAATTATAACAAGTACACTAGTCTGATGGAGACTGTTAATAGTGGGGGACACTATGCATGTGTGGGGCCAGAGGGAATACAGCCTCTATACTTTCCACTCAATTTTGCTGTAAACCTAAACTTGCTCTAAAACATTAAAAAATTAAGTTACATTATTTTAAAAATGTATACAGAGCTCATGTATTTTTCACCCACTTTCCCCACCAGAAAAATCTTGCATAACTACAACTATAATTCAAAGTCAAAACCAAGAAGACGACATTTGTATAATTCAGAGCTTTGTCAGATTTTATCAGTTTTATATAGACTTATTTGTTTTGTGTGTATGTACATATAGATCTGTGTAATTTGTCATATATGAGGTGTGGGTAACTACCACTGCAATCAAGATGCAGAACTGTTACATCACCACAAGTATCTCCAGCATCACTCTTTTCAACCATATTACTCCTTGCCTTTCCCTTACATGTTCCATATTTTGACAAACACTAATCAGATTTACATCTCCAAAATTTTGTTATTTCAAAGTTGCAATATAAACGGATTAATTTTTAAGGTCAGTTTTCCCACATGCCCCACCTCAGCACAGCTCTCTTGAGATCCATACAAGTTATATATCAATATGGTCAGGCATTGTTACTGATGGGGATACAGTTTGAGAAATGCATTGTCAGGTGATTTTTGTCATTGTGTGAATGTCATAGAGTGTAATTACATAGACCTAGATGCTATCGCCTGCTACATACTGAGGCTCTGACTCTATTGTGTAGCCTTTTGGCAGGACCATTGTATATGTGGTCTATCATTGATGAAATGCCACTAATCATACATAATTGCTTTTTTGACACTAAATAGTATGCCATGGTATGATGTACAGTTCATTAAACCATTCACCATCTGAAGGACACTTGGGTTGTTTCTAATTTTTGGCTATTAAAATTAATGCTGCCAAAAACTTTATATATATATGTATATTTGAATGGAGATCAGATTTCATTCTTTAGAATAAGTAACATTTTGCATTTTCACCAGCAGAGTATGAGTTCCAGCTGATCTCTGCTACCCCATCATCGCCTAATTGTGTCAATAATTTTAACTTTAGCTATTCTAGTGCATATTTAGTAGTATTAAGCACAGAGCCCTGGTCTATTCTTTTGACTTCAAGAAGTTGGCACTCTAATCTCTACCTGTCGCCTGTATAATAAAAACACATTCCTATATCCGTCCCATATACCCATTTTTTCTTTAATTCTTTTTGCGTCTATAAATGTTAAATGTGGCTGAGCTGAATATGACCAAATGTATTGGCAGAAAGAGGGTTATTTCACCAATAACAATGGAGATCTTTCAGATACGAAGGCTGATGTGAAAATAGAGATTTGATAACAAACCAATTAGACACAAGACAGTCTTGCTTTAAGAGTTGCAAGTACACCAACAGAAAACATGAATTGAATACATACTGTATACTGTTTGGGGCAGTAACATTCATGTAAGTCTAAACAATGGTATATTGGGGTCATAAGGACTCATGTAAGTTACTCATTTTGTAGTTGAGAAACTGAGGGTTGGAGAGGGAAGTGACGTGTGCAAATCAGTAAGTTTTGAAATTAGAAAGTGTGAGTCTTCCAACTTTAAATTTCAATATTATTTAGGCTATTCATGTTTTGCATTTCCACATGAATTTAAGAAGGTGTTCCATTCTGTGTAAAAAGAGCATTGGTATTTTGATGGGGACTGCATGACTTTATTAGATTGTTTTGGATCATACTGCTATTTAAACAATATTAAGCCTTTCTTTTTTAAAATTTTCATAATTTATTTATATCTTTTACATCATCGTGCATTTCCTGTAAAATTCCCACCACCAGTTCATAGTGGTGGGAATAGTCCCCTGTGCTCTTCTCTCCCGTTTTGATCCCTTTTCCTCCCTCTGCCTCAAAGAATGTCTCTTATTTATAGTTGCCTGCTAGTTTTATTTTATTGTTATTTTTTTCTCGATTCCTTATTTGGTTCCCCTATATTCCGCCTATTAGTGAAACCATTCGATATTTTTCTTTTTTCTTCTGGCTTATTTCACTGAACGTGATCCCTTCTTGCTCTGTCCATGTTGCTGTGAATGACATGAGTTTGTCTTTTTTGATTGCTGAATAGTATTCCATGGTGTATATATGCCACATCTCTTGATCCAGTCATCTATTTTTGGGCATTTGGGTTGTTTCCATGTCTTACCTATTGTAAACAGTGCTGCAATAAACATAGGGGTGCAGGTATCTTTTTGAATTATTTTTTTTCTGTGTTCAACATCCCTTATAATCAGGGAAATTCAAATCAAAACCACAATGAGATACCACCTTACACCAGTGAGAATG